CCAGTTTTGCCTATTCTTCTTCCGTTCTTCTCCGTGATTTCTTAGCCCGGCCGACTTTCCTTCTCCCCTTGGGGGTTCCAGTCCATAGCTTTCTTTCTGCGAGTTGTACAGTTAACACAGTACATAGATTAAAATCGAAACGACACAGAGATTTATAGCATGGTTAGGTTATTGCCTGAAGAATCCTTTAGGATATTTGTAAGCCTAATTTTTATTTTCATGCAAGCAGATACATTTTAATAAAATAAACGGCTCATTAGGTAGCTACTTTTGGTAACGTGAACGAGGTGTCAGGCGAATAAAAAAAGGGCGTCACATTCATCACCCCCCCTCCCCCCCACACACACCACACATTTACAGAATTCTGACAAGAGTACAGGGCGGCTTATCCGTACACTTGAGTAACGCCTGATTACTGCTGTTATCCATACGCTTTCGCCTTACGCGACGATAAAAAAAATGAATCCAAAAATATTTTTCAAATAACATAAAACAAGTAATTAAAAAAAGTCTAGTGACAATTTTAGCGCAATTCCCTTGTGTTATCTAAAAATAGCTCTGTCGTAGAGAAAATCAAGAACAGGGTTAGTAAAACCATTGGTTAGTTATTAAAACATTTTTTTATTAATTTTTTTTCAGTATTTTACATGTTTTATTTACAATAGAGTAACATGACTAAAAACCATTGCGCGCCCAGCTACCGAACGTGACGTCGCAGCCATTGAACGTGATGGCGCAGCTATTGAACGTGATAACGCGTGTGGTGTGGTTGCATAAAATGCCTACTAATTCGGTCCAAATTTTAATTAATTCAAAATTTTTTTTGTGACCGAACGAAAGGATATTTTTGAAAACTTTCTTCGGCAATATTGTTCTAAATTATGGCAGGAATCGATTGGTACATGTTTCAAGTCGCTAAGTGGTCTGGTTGCCGAGATATGGGCCAAAAACTGCTTTTTTAAAAGTTTTTTTGGCTTTTCCGGGAAATCCATGAAAGAAACCCGTAATTTTTATGGCCTATGTTCATCCTCGTAACTTGCTTAACATAATTGCTTTTGGAACTAGTCATCGATATTGCTTCGTTGAGGAGGAGATACGACTTAAAGCTGTGGACACACATACATCCATCCATCCATCCATTCATTCATACATCCAGAAATGACGGGTTAATAAACGCAATTCTCCAGAATGGAAATTGCGCTAAAAAGAGTATCTTAATGTTTGTTCGTAGAGGAAGAAGGACACGGGTACTGCTAAATCATTGGCCCACGTCGGGCAACACAGTATAGGCTACACATCCGCGACTGTACCCAGTTTTTGATAGTTATCTGACCTTCATCAAGAGAGCAAAAGTTACTGGGATTTGTTGACTTGTTGACCCTATCTGGTCCATTGATTTTTAGGTCCGAAAGAATACTTGTATATATATATATATATATATATATATATATATATATATATATATATATATATATATATATATATATATATATATTAATACTAATAGTTTCGCTGTCTGTCTATCTATCTATCTGACAAGAACGCTCTAGAGAAAACACAAAGAAAATAAAAACATGCATAGTATTTCGAAAAACGAAGTATGACGTCGACACATTTAGCGCACAGAGTAGAAAATAATCTCAAACCCAGAGAGTGCTCAAAGTTATATGACGTCATTGATTTTCGCGTTAACATTGAATAAAAAGGAAATGTTGTCTAATCTTAATGGTTTGCGTGAAGAGTTTCTTGCATACAATTCTTCGGGTAGGGGCGAAGCCCCACCCCCCGCGTAAGAACGTCTGAGCCCCCCCCCCCCTCGGGGAGGGGGCGGACACTGGAAAAAGTATATAATTATATTTCGTTGAATGGGACGGTAGACATGTTTTTTTGGGGGGGGGGGGGGGGGGTGGGGGGGGGGGGGGTGGTGTGTGTGGGGGGTGGGGTGGTTTTAGTTTAGACTTTTTCCTCCCCAGAGAGGGGTGGGGGGTACTTGAAATTTTCGGGGGCGGGGGTAGAATTTTCGGGGAAGGGGCGGACACTGGAAAAAGTATATAATTATATTTCGTTGAATGGGACGGTAGGCATGTTTTTTTTTGGGGGGGGGGGGGGGGTGGAGGGGTGGGGGGGGGTGGTGTGTGTGGGGGGGGCGGTGTGTGGAGGGGGGTGGTGTGTGTGGGGGGTGGGGGGTGGGGGTGGGGGGTGGTGTGTGGGGGTGGGGTGGGGTGGGGGTGGTGTGTGGGGGGGGGGTGGGTTGGTTTTAGTTTAGAGAAAAGAGACAGCACTATCAAGCTAGCGCCCGGTGTATCCTTCCTCAACGGGCCATTTTTCTCGTATATATATATTATGCTTGTGTGTGTCTATAATAGTCCATATCCATTTGAAATCTTATGCACAATGTTTATTCCAGACTTTTTTCTCCGGGGGGGGGGGGGGGCACTTGATATTTTGAAAAGTATGTGCTTGATAAGTATGTGTAAGTATGTGCTTGCTATATAAATCCCATCTCGTTCGGGGGGGGGGCGGAGCCCACCCGAACAGATGCCTGGAAGAAACTCTGCTGATTCAGCTGGCTAATGCACACTAAAGAAGTTTCTAATACGAACTAGCATGTCTCTTACAGGCCAATAATTCAGCCAGCCTGTCGAAGTACTTGTGTCAGAGATCGCCTATTGATTTTGACATTTACACCCCTCCCCTATACGGTGTTTAAATGTGGGGAACACGTTTGTCATGTCAGTGGAAAATTCCGCCAGACGAGGAAATTTTTTACTTTCCGGTCATACTAAAACACGCCAGCTTGTGTTGACGATTTGGAAGCTCATGTAATTTTTTTTTTTTTTTTGCTGAGTAGTTTTAAACCCGGAATATGTATGGGCCCAATGTTAAACCGGATATTTTTTTTTCGTAGGGAGTATGGGGGATAAATAAATTATTTATAATTAGTCTTAAAGATAGCTATTAATTATAGAATACATGCGCGATTTTTTATATTTTTTTTTTTGCACCGAGGACGCTTCAATAAATAGCGCAGTTGCTGGAGTTAATTTCGAGGCAGAATGATATTAAGGTATTGGTCGAGGGACTCAGATTTAACCATTGGAGGCGTTTCTTCAGTTTGTTGGATCTTGTCAGTAGTTACCTCCCCTCCTTCATTGTGTATATTGGAATTAGTGACGGATGAATTATTGAGGGAGTATTCATAATGTAAACGATTGGAGTATTCAAAGTTTCGTAGCCGGGAATTATAAACTTCTATTACCAGCTTTAAAAAAATAATTGCAATCTAATTGAAAAGAATTGCGACCTGATTCGAATATTGAAAATCGTATCTTAATTAAATGGAATAAATATTAGAATGTGTAAGTGTAAATATGATATATTTAAATTTTAAAAATTTAGAACTTATGTTTTCTCGTCACAGCATCTAATTCAAATGACAACAATAAAAAATATGTTTTTTTTGAAAATAGATGACAGCTACAAAATATGCTTTTTGAGAACACATGACAACAATAAAACTAACGTTTTTTGAGAACACATGACACAATAAAATATGTTTTTTGAAAATAGATGACAACAATAAAATATATGTTTTTTTTCAGAACAAATGACAAGAAAACATATATTTTTTAGAACAAATGACAACAAAAAATATGTTTTTTGAAAATAAATGACATCAAAACATATGTTTTTTTAGAACAAATAACAACAAAACATACGTTTAAAAAACATAACATATGTTTTCCTGATGGTCAATATCAGCAATCCAGTACAGATAACAGGTTGCAGTGTTTCTTTCACTTTTTTTTCTCCGGAGGGGGAGGGGTACTTGAAATTTTGGGGGCGGGGTGTTGGGTGGACTAAATTTTCCAGGGGGGTGTGAGGGGCACGGGTAAAAGTATATATTTTCTATATAAATTTTTTTCTTCGGGTTGAGAGGGGGGGGGGGGATGACAGAAGAGATGCCTGAAAGAAACTTTGACAACCGACTGACATATATGTCCATGTCGGACAAGGAGCATTTCATGACGGACAACACAATGTTAAAAACCCACAATAGATCTATCGTACAGAAAGAGACATTGTGGACCGACATCCGAACGCAAGTAAAAATAAAAGTAAAGTTCCCTTTCAAACCTGACGGTCTATGGGGCAAGTGAAGTAGAGTTCACTTGTTTCTGTGACCTCGGCATTTGAAGAGATAGTGTGGTCAGCACTATGCCCAGCCGCCTTTACTTTCCCTAACGTGAGTTAGGTACCCATCAGAGTTGGGTGGACTCAGGGACGTTCTCTTACTTGAACCCGGATTCGAACTCTAGACTTACGGGTTAGCAGTCCAGCTCTCTACCACTAGACCACTCCGTCCAAACTCAAGTGCTGACCACAAATCTCTTCATATTCCGAGGTCAAGAAACACATTGGACTCTACTTCCTCTGCTCTATGGATCGTTAAGTCTGAAAGCGGAACTTAACTTGTTATCTATCTTACAGTTCACGAGAACAGCACAGTTCATTGACAGATTAGAACGCAGACAAAACTAGTGCCACTATTTCGGACTAAACACAAACAACGTATTTGGTAAAATTCTAGAGAATGACTTATTTGCCCTTGGCTTAAGCAGTTGTTGTTGTTTAAGGTTTAGAGTTTTCAATCATAAGATTATATCAGAGATTATATTTTTAAAAAGAATTTTTAAACTTTGTTATCTTAAAATTTTTTCTTCTTTTTAAATTAAATGTTTTTTTTATTGATCTTCCTTTCAATTTAATTTTAGTTAGGTTTTTTTTGTCGGTTTTATGTTTTTTAAAATAAAGTTTTAATAGTCATGTTTAAAAAAATAAACCTTATTTATTATTTGTTGCTTTATTTATTCGAACCATTATGCTATTTGAAGAAGACATCGACATTCATATTCATCCACAAACTAGTGCATGTACTCTTAGGCTAGTCTAGTTTTTTAAACTGCTGCTATATAAGATCCCTCCCATTTGTGCGACAGGTTTTGACTGAGAGAAAACAACCACGATGAAAGAGGAAGTAGAACGAGGAGGGTGGGGAGGGAAGCTTGACTTCATCTTAACCTGCATCGGGTATGCCGTTGGGCTGGGGAACATCTGGAGGTTCCCGTACCTGTGTTACAAAAGCGGTGGAGGTAAGAAAATCAATTGTTGTTCTTTAATTAATTAGTTAATTGCTGCCTTAATCAAGTTGTATAAAAATGGATTGGAGAATCGAATTTTTTTTGTTGTTAAAGCTGAATACAGTTGCAGTGGATTTAAAAAAAAAAAACAAGAACACACTATCACAATATACATATTATTAAAGTATTTTCTACAAATTAAAATAAAGCGCGAGTGATCTCCCCTAAACTTTATCGAATATTCTTATATAACACTGCGGAGGATTGCAACTCGGGATATTATAGACATGATTTTTAATCCATTTTTAAATACTTAATTTTTTAAAAATAAAATAGAATCTCGAGAAAAAAAAAGGCTCATGGGGCGTAAAGCGTCGAGATTTCTAAACATCTCGATTCGATTTTTTTGCACAATTATATTAATTACAACGAGCCGACCCGCTGCGTATCATACGCCGCTATTTAGTTGTTTTTTTTTCTAATTTTCAGTAATTTATAATTTGTGAATTCGACAGTACCAATGCTGCCATTGAAAATATTTGCTTAAAAACACTACCCCCCCCCCCACGTGAACAGTGTTTCTTCCAGACTTTTTTCTCCGGGGGGGGGCACTTGAAATTTTCGGGGGGGCGGTAGACTTTCTTCGGGGGGGCGGACACTGTTAAAAGTATATATTTTCTATATAAATTATATAAATTTCATTTCGTTCAAGGGGGGGGGGGGCGGTAAAATTTTTTCGGGGGGGGGGGGCTTCGCCCCCCCGAAGAGATGCCTGGTAGAAACTCTGCACGTGAAAGCAGCCTCCTCTTAGTTACCTCCTCTAAGTTTAAAATCGTTTCAAACTAAATTATCTGCCCCTAATAGCCGTCACCAAACCCGTCTCTATGATTGTAAAATGTAAACAGAGTGAACACCGCTCACCAGATCATGTGGGGGTGGGGTGGGGGTGGTAGTGATAGAGAGGAAGAGAGGGGACTGCAAAGGCGCGCTTGCAGCTTGTTTTCTAACTGATCCCAGAAGAGAATTATATATATAGATACACTACTTCGTATACGAGAAAGTAAAAACAAACAAACAAGAAACGGTTTAAGTTTATTTTAGTTAATTGAAGCTGCACGTTTACCTGTCCAGCGGTTTGTATTTTTCCGTGTTTGTCCGTGTCAGAATGACCCGCCCTTCACCCCTTGTCATAGGAACAACGTGGACTTTACAAACTCTTGAAACTCTCGTAAACGAGGAAAACTTTAGAAACTCAAGAGAACTCGTGATATAACGGAAAATACCGTCCCCGCATCTTAAGAAACAATAAACATAAAACGCAGAATACTTAATTTTCTTAGAACATAGGACATAAAGCTAACAGTTCTTTTAGTGCATAGGTAATAACTGCAGACAGATTTGTAGATCATGTCTGCAAACAGTTCCTGTAAGACATAAGACATTACTGCGGAAGTTAAGGTATAATGTAAGATTTGACCGCGGGTATTCATGTAGGACATAGACATGACTGCGGACAGTACATGTAGTACAGGACATGACTGCGGTCAGTAATTTTAGGACAGTTCCTATAGGACACGACATGACTGAGGACAACAGTTCCTGTAGGACATAAGACATAAGTGTGGACGGTGACAGGACAAATGATCTCAGGACAAATTATCTCATGGACAAAAAATACCAGGGCAAACGATACCATGGACAAATGATCGCAGACAAAATATCTCACGGACAAATTATCTCAGGACAAATGATCTTAAGGACAAATGATATCACGGACAAAAGATCTCAGAACAAAATATATCAGGACAAACGATACCATGGATAAATGATCTCAGACAAAAGATCTCACGGACAAATTATCTCAGGACAAATGATCTTAAGGAGAAATGATATCACGAACAAAAGATCTCAGGACAAAATATATAAGGTCAAATGATACCATTTCTGGGCCATTCTTTCAAGCGGGGCCCACGTCATTCCGGCTGCCTCTGCTTCACTGACGGCAGACCTTTCCGTGTTTATCGCTCGTGTAAAATGGGGGTGATATAATGGGAAATCTGCTCGAGCGTCGAAATGTGTTCCGACGTCACAGTTCGTAACTTGGAACGCTGGTGTCATTCGTTAAACGAGAGCAGTCGCAGGGGTCGGGACTAGCCTGCGGTTATGTTGTGCACGTTTGGTAGATGTGGGTGACACGGCCTTCCGCAGGCTAGTACACAAGTTGTACTGCAGTCTCGTATGGCTTATCTGCTGGATTACTACACAAACACACGGTCACATCGACAGACACAAAAACACACACACTCACATCAGCAGACACACAAAAACAAACACACACACACACACACTAAATTGTTATATTGAACAGATCTGATTTCAGTGAGATTATACCTCCCCCCCCTTCCTTGAAGGCAATTTAGAAAGGGCAAACATATACTGTACTAGTCTTTACGAAACAGTGTAACTATGACACAATGTGTAGTGTTTCGGAGCAATGTCAATAATGCGTGATATGTACAGTGTTTCTGTTTTATTCCGGGGAGGTGGGACGTGTATTTAATTTCGGGGGGTGGGGCGGACACTGGTTTAAGTATTTATTTTGTATATCAATTTCGTTCAATGTGTGAGAAGGGGCGGTTTAGGGTTAGAGGGAGCACCCCTTTCCCGATCCCCTCCAAAACAAAAATGATTTTAAAAATACCTTACAGAAATTCTGAATATGTAGATATGCCGTGCTGAAGTGTACTAGACTAGACTATACTAGCCAGTGTAGAAATGATGCAATATGAACCGTACTAGACTAGACTAGACTAGCCAGTGTAGAATGACAACATAAACCGTACTAGACTAGACTACTAGCTAGTGTAGTTATGAATATGATGCAACATGAACCGTATTAGACTAGACTAGACACACGTAGGCTGTAGGCACTGCTAAAAAGAGACAAACATTCTATTATTGCTAAAGTATCTAAACAGACACATGAACTTTAGTGCTATCTTCAAGAACCCGCTTAATGACATTTACACTACCGTTAACCCCACCCCCCTCTTCACACGCACCCACACACACTTAGAGTACACATCGCACACATTTTCACACTCTGATACACACTCTGCTAAAATATGTAAACAAGGCTAGTATGTCAAGGTCAGGTCAAGCTGCTCCAGGAATCCAAAACTAGGCCAAGCGGTTTTCGTTTGCATTGTGGGTAAAAAAATAATACAACAGGCCTGAGATGTAGCAATATTTACATTTTAAGCGTCGCAATAACAAAAGCTCCACTATATATATATATATATATATATATATATATATATATATATATGTGTGTGTGTGTGTGTGGTGTGTGTGAATGTAATTATGTGTGTAAAGAAACATGTATATATATTGGCCTATATATATATATATATATATATATATATATATATATATATATATATATATATATATATATATATATATACTGTATATGTATTTCTGTATATATATACACTGTATATGTATTTCTGTATATATATATATATATATATATATATATATATATATATATATATATATATATATATATATATATATGTATATATATATGTATATATATATATATATATATATATATATATATATATATATATATATATATATATATATATATATATATATGTGTGTGTGTGTGCGTATGTATGTGTATGGATCTAATATGTAGATCTACATATTTATGTATGGTATGTAGACAGTATGTATGTCTGACATTAGATATAAAGATGGAACAACAGACTATCTATAGGGGGACCTACACTGAACACAACAGTGTGTTGACTTGTTAATTGTTTTTGAAAAAAAAATACTCTTCAATGTACTTTTAGCGTGCCTTCCTAATACTTAGGTTATAGTAATGTTAATCTTATAGCGTAAGGAAGGCTTATCTTTTTTGTGATTGCATAGTTTTATCTTTGAGTATTTTTGTGTTTTTATACATGACTTAACAATAACATAACAGGTTGTTGTCGAGGGTCAACGTTGTTTTTATTTACTCTTTAAGTAGCTGATGTCAAAACTTGTTACACTCTCTAGTAGTTTACACTGTTGTATTTTGTCATTCTTTAACCCATATGGCTTTGATTTGAAAGTTTCGTTTAAAAAAGATAAACAAAACAACAGCGCCCTAAATGAAAATGAATGCTTACATGTGAAATTTCATTTATCTATCTGAAATAGTACTCAAATTATAGGCATTTGAAAAATTTAAAGTAGAAAAACTTCCACTTCCGGTTATCGGAAATCATGAAAAGTTGATACAGATCTACAAATTTGATATAATACTTATGTATGAAATTTCATCAACCTAGCTGTTACGGTACTCAAGTTATCGTGTTCACAGACACACAGAAACACACAGACAGACACACACACATATACACACACATATACACACACACAGACATACGGACAAGATTTTAAAATTATGTTTTTCCGACTCAGGGAGGTGTAAAACGTCGAGATTTGCAAAAATCTCGATTTTTTTTTTGCACGATTACAATACTTTCTCTATACTTCGTATACGAGAAAGTGAAAAGATAAACATCACAAAACAACAGCGCCCGAAGTGAAACTGAATGCTATGTAAATTAATGACGTCATGTACTAAGGGAGACGGGGCAAGATGGTTGCGATTTTGTGAGTAAGTTGCTGAATGGAAGGGATGGAAGCTTGAAAAACGTAATGCGGAATGTATTTTGTTCATCTTAAAAATAAAAAAAAGGATAAATATTCACAGAACCTCTAAAAAATCTCAATACGATAATGTATAATTGTCTTTTATGAACATGGACGTACAAAGAATACTTTAGTGTTTTAAAAAGCGTGGTTGTACAAAAACGCAAAGCAATTCTCACAATATGGACAATTTAAACACTTAGGACGTGAGTAGGCCAACACACGTTCCGTGTTAACAAGTCAAAAAGCAGATTCACGTGCTCTAAGCTTGTAAACAAACAAAAAATCTTTTGGAATTTTAAATGTATTGGGGAAAAGAAATGTGTATTGTGTAACGGCTGCAAAATAAAGTTCCCTTTTCGAACCTGACGATCCAGGGGCAAATGAAGTAGAGTTCAACTTGTTTCTGTGACCTTGGCGTATGAAGTGGGGTAGTGTGATCAGCAACATACCCAGCCGCCTTCACTTTACCTAACGTGAATTCGGTACCCAACAGAACTGGGTGAACTCTACCGACTGGAACCCGGATTCGAACTCGCGACTTTGACCTTTGAGTTAGCACTATAGCGCTCTACCGCTAGGCCACGCATTCCCACACGGGAAGACGACAAAAATACCCCAAAATTATTTTGACCTCATGGAAGTTAACAACCTCATTCTCATTAAAAAAATGTTTTATATTTAATTTTTACCTCACTTTAAGCAAACAACTCTAATCTTACTTTTACAGATTCAGATTCTTCCATTTGCTTCGATGAATAAGTATTTAAACATATATAAATATACTCTTTGTAGTCGTAGATGAGCGCAGACAGACACTGTGGTTAAATATAACGTATTGAGATAACAACCAGAAGGTGTCTGGGGGGGGGGGGGGGGAGTTCACAACCTGGTAAAGTTTCTTCCATGCATCTCTTCAGGGGGGAGGGCGGAGCTGAAAAAAGTCTACCGCCCACCCCCCCCCCCCCCCCCTCCCCCGAACGACATGGAATTTATATAGAAAACATACTTTTAGCAGTGTCCGCCCCACCCCCCCGGAAAATGTTGACCGCCCCCCCCCCCGAAAACATCAAGTGGCCCCCCCCCCCCCCCCAGAAAAAAGTCTGAAAGAAACACTGCAACCTGGTTAGACAATCATGAGCACTCTGTCACGAACTAAAGCATAGGCAGAAGGTGTTGAGGGTTTCAATACTTTTTGTATCAAATTAATGCGTACCTTTAACCTGTAAATATGAGTCTTGATTATGGGATCCGCTCCGCCCAACCTAGTCATGTATTTCTTTTCAAACCAAACATTCGATAGTGGTAAAGTAGGTCCTTGGCGTTTATGTGTTATAGAACACGTAGATCACATGTGTACAGAACAACTGTTACGGGTCATTTGTAGGTTAGATAGAAATAGGCTAGAATAGTCTAGAAATTATGGGAGAGTGCGTGTGCGAGTTGAGTGTTTCTTCCAGACTTTTTTCTTCAAGGGGGGACCTGATATTTTCGGAGGGGGGGGGGGAGGGGGCGGACACTGGTAAAAGTATGTTTTCTATATAAATTTCATTTCGTTCGGGGGGGGGGGGGGGGGTGGTAGACTTTCTTCGGGGGGGGGGGTGCGAAGCCCACCCCCCTCCTCGAAGAGATACCTGGAAGAAACACTGGTTAAGTTTACCCTAGTGTGTAGTTAACCCCGGCGTGTTTATGTATTGTTATCCCAGGGTCGAATGCAGGTATAAAACCTGGAGTGAATGATTGTAAGGGGGACGGTTGGTAGCTGCTAGGTACGAGGGCGTGTTGTGTAAAGATAAAAAGGACAAGCGCAATAAAGGTTGAACATTGCCTACAAACGTGTTTGTTGGAAGAAAGGTCGATCGTAACAACCTCTTTAGATTCTCTGATCGTATACTTTTATGCCATATGCTATTACAATTCTCTGTTGCTGTTTACACTCAAGTCTGTCATACCTGAGCGGCAGTGTTTCTTTCAGACTTTTTTCTCGGTGGTAGGGGCAGGGGGAGCGGCTCTGACCTTTGAACACTAATTAACCGGACGTTTGCCAGAAATGCTATGGTGTTATTGAAACTTCTACTGGATTGTGTATAACATTAATTTTAGGACAAACGGCATTCGAGCATGTGGTTTTAGCGAAATTGTCGCATTTAAGTTAACGTCTGTTCGGTCCATTGTTCCATTAATATCGCACAGTTAACTATGTCCTAATTGAAATTCACACAGTTGACTAATTTCTAGAATTAATAACTTTAAGTATACCATTATAACAATATATATATATATATATATATATATATATATATATATATATATATATATATATATATATATATATATATAAAATTTATTTAAACGACAAGAAGGGCCGACAGCGGCCCGCAGACCTGGCATGAAAACCGCTGCTCTGTTTTTGCATATTTTGCTTACGAGTTAACCCGGCCTTGGTCGCACATTCGTCTGGGTAAATAAGATAAGTAAATACGCCAGCAGATATAGAGGGATTTAGTACTCGACTGTTTACGACATTACTAGCATATTAACCCAGATAGCGGGGTGCTACGGGTCAAATATCCAGTGCAGGCTGCTCAAATAGATTAACCTTAACCTATATCTATTTTTAGATATCGATGCATTTTTTTTTTAATCTCTAAAAAAATTAACTGACTTATTTTTCTTTGCTCTGCGATAATCTGTGATAGATATTTCTAAAAATATCATAATTATACAAAAAGTTATTTTCAATACCAAGTATTTTACAAGCAAATAGAGTATAAACTGGGGGGATGACGCATAAAATGTACCGTAAGTAAAGAAAAACAAGACATTGATAAATCAATAGTGGCGTTATTTTAATACAAATATCAGAACAACACAGTCTGAATATTTAAGAAGTCAATTTAAATAATGTTTACCAAGATGCATAGTGTGCTTGCGTCCGCGCGCATGCGCACGTATGTATGTTCTACCCCCCCCCCCCCCCCGAAAAAAAAAAGAAAAATACAATAAAAAAAATTCTCTAACTTCTAAGCTTAGTTGAAAACAAAGTAAAACGTCCCATATGTTTAATACATCAGTTTCTTATCTTAAGCAGGGCCTTTATAACAATGACTTCCATCCTTTAGCAGCCTACACCTCCGTGGTCATGAGAGTAGGGGCAGTAGATTTGTCCTGCACAGCAGCGTCACTAGGCGGGGGATGGGGGGTGTCACAAGACGGGGTGGGGTGGACCGCCCCGAGTGACATCACCTACGCCAATCTGTTTTTGTTGCTAGCTTAATATTAATAGCTTATTAAATTTATTATTTATCTTTAGGGACAGGGTGACACCATCCTGCATTGATTTGAGACCACGTTTTAGTATATCATTGGGGGCCTATATATATATATATATATATATATATATATATATATATATATATATATATATATATATATATATATTATATATATCCATTTAAAGAAAGTCTATTGGGTTCAAGATAAGTGAAGAATCAGTGGCGTCACCCGACATTATAGTGTCGCCACTGATTCTTCACTTATCTTGAACCCAATAGACTTTCTTTAAATGGATATTTGTCCTGTAGAATTGAGGTCAGCAAATTTCTAATGGACAAAGGTCAAGGTAATAGCCTATAGGACGAAGATGAGAACAATAAACTATGGGATACTTGACCTTCGTGGCGTTGCGAATTGTACTGTCGCTAATTGAGCTCTTTGTATACAGCACAAATTTCGTGTTTTCTCATCAAATTATTGTTTAAAATGCGCGGACTAAAACATAATATAATTATCACGTGACGTTGATTCGCGTTGTTTATTTTTGGAACTGTAATATGTTCTTGGTATTAAGAGGACAAATTATGATTTACATTTTGAATGGGAACTCAGTTGTATTAAAGTTAATCTTTATGTCATTTGGTATTTCATTCCAGTCACAAAGCAGAGTGTTTACATACAACCACAACCCACCCACCATATGAGCGGTTTAACATATTACACGCTAGTTACATACAGGCACAGTGAAGAACACAATCGTGCTATACAGCTCACATATGATATATGGACAATGAGCACAAAATATGTTCGCATACCATATTGATCTTATTATGAACGAAAATTGTGCTGTATGGTCTACAGTTCGCTGACGTTGGCTTAATGAGAAAATGATGAGCATTTTTTTGTGTGAAATACAGTGTCTATACCGTATTGAATATATGATGATAAAAAAGCGAATTTAGTTATAACAATGAGATAAAAATACCTCATTTTTGTTTTTGAACCTGAAATCTAAACTCCACCCCCCCCCCCCCACCAGAGTTTCTTCCAGGCATTTCTTCGAAAAAAATCTACCGCCCCCCCCACCAAACGAAATGGAATTTATATAGATAAATATATACATTTAATAGTGTCCGCTCCCCCCCCCCAGAAGAAAGTCTAACGGAGAAAAAGGTCTGGAAGAAACACTGCCCCCCCCCACACACACACCCATCACTATGTTCGGGCATAACTATATGTATGAATGTATGATGTTGGAAACATACTTAGCACACAGAAGAAAACTCCCTTACGTTGTATCAAGGAAAGCAATACTTTGACCATCTATCGTTGATTAACCAGGCACTCTATCCCCAGGCGCCTTCCTGATTCCCTACTGCCTCTTCCTAGCCCTGTGCGGGCTGCCTTTGTTTTTCCTGGAGGTGACCATCGGTCAGTTCTCCAGCTTGAGTCCTGTTGCTATCTGGAAAGTTGTCCCCCTTTTCAAAGGTGAGTAAAATAATCAAATTAATAATTTTTCTATTGTTTCTTTTTAACACAATTATCTGTGCATTTTCGTTAGCTATTGCCAGTGTGTATTTAAAAAAAAAAAGGTAGAAAATGCATAATTTGCATCTTTCTCCGTGTTTTTTTTTTTGGCAAAGACCAATTGCTGATCCTTCTGGTGGGTGTATTTCATGAAGTGAAATTGACCTTATATAAAACTAGGCATACTGCCTAGCTTCGCTTAGGTTTTCAAAAAAGTTGGGGAATTGAATGATTAATTAATAGGTGATTGGCTGCTATATTAAATGCTTAGGGCCTAAATTTTTACAGTGGTGTATTGTAATGGTAAGCAAATATCAATGGAATATTCGCAAACTTATTACTTGTACGGTTATTAGAACTGCAGGTGTTTTCTTAATATTATCAATCAAATATTATAATAAATTACTATCGCAATTAATTTATACATTACAGTTTAATGCAAAACTTAATTCGCAACAAAATATTTATTTAAAACAATGCTATACTTTATGATTTTTGTTTTTTTCTTAAAAAGAGTATACAAAATATTTAAAAATTATTACATTAAAAAGTTACCTCCCCTGTTCAAAGACCAAATGACCAAATCTTGTATAATGAGAATTTCACTCGCGGTCATTTTTAGCCCTCTGAGAGGGCTATAAGTCTGACCAACAGTTTTCCATACGGCGTAGTCAGCTTTTGAGGTGTATACAAAAAAATAGTCAGATGTAAAGAGGGTAAGTGTCCTAAAATCCGTTTTCAAATTACCCTCTGTTTTTTCCGTAAAATACAAAGATAATATAGGGAAATACGACTGGTCAGTTTTGACCCATTTAACGAATTTTCCCGGACATGGCGAGTTTTTTGTGACACCCCAAGGCGTTCTCCTACCACCTCACAAAATTTCAAGGGGGGTCGTCGGAGGAAATTTTTTCGTAATAGAGCTCATATAAAGAGAATTTCACTCGAGGTCACTTTTTAGCCCTCGTCGAGGGCTTTGAGTGAAACCGACAGTTTTCCCTAAAGGTCAAGCCATTTACCTAAGAGCATGCAAAAAATTAGCCAGATGTAAAGACGGTAAGTGCCCTAAAATCCGTTTTGAAATCACCCTCTGTTTTTCCCATAAAATACAAAGATTATATAGGGAAATACGACTGGTCAGTTTTGACCCATTTAACGAATTTTCCCGGACATGGCGAGTTTTTTGTGACACCCCAAGGCGTTCTCCTACCACCTCACAAAATTTCAAGGGGGGTCGTCGGAGGAAATTTTTTTTCGTAATATAGCCCATATAAGGCGCCGGTCAGTCGAGGTCAGTTTTGACCCCTCCCCGTAGGCTTTTCGGCCAACCGTCACCGGCCTTCGTGTTCTATCGCCCGAAGGCACCATCGTGCCAAATTTGACGCGCCTGCGGCGCCGGGAAGTGCCCTATCGGGCACTTGACCACTTTGCTTTATATATATAGATGACTATAGTAAGATCAAAAGCCATGTGGAGTGTTTTCAGATAATGCTAGAGAAGCCTTTACAATGATTGCTAGGAAGGCCACGTTCGAAGCAGTGGCGGAACTAGAAATCAAAGGCTCCCCCGCAAAGAAAAAACTAGGGCCCCCCCTATATATATATATATATATATATATATATATATATATATATATATATAATCTATTATGAGTTAATTAGTCTACTTCATTGCAATATATAACCATTCTGAGAGAACAAACCAGAAAAAATTTAGTCCAAACTAATATTGAGTTATTAGTATCCGAACCATACTGGTCAAAAATATAATAAAGACGTTAGGTTGATTCGTGAATGGTTTCTCGCGTTATGTTTATTTTTTTCATTTTTGGCTTTTATAATATCAATTTTGTAAACATTGATTTTTATAGCTATACTATTGTATAGTACGTCTTATTTAAGTAGCAATTCAGAGAATCAATTGCTTTTTAATTTACATAGTACAAAACTATTAAAATGAGCTTCGTGGGCATCCCTATTTTAAAGAAGGGCAGTAAGTCATGCAAGTAGTGTGAATGTTTACCTACCTTTCAAACTATAGCTCTTGTAGATTTTAAAATATTTTTCTACGCAACAATCTCTGCTATAGTAGACCTGTTTTTTTTTTTTTTTTACAAAACCACTTTCAAGATGCATGAAAAACATATTTTTTGAAAAAAAAAATCATTGCTTTTTGATCGGAACTGGGCCCCTAAACGTCTTGGGCCCCCCCCGCATTGCGGGGTCTGGCGGTATGGTAGTTCCGCCCCTGGTTCGAAGCTATTTTTAGCTGATTTAGCTATCATAATCGTGAGCCTAGCCATGGCCCTGATTACGTTTACCTTGGCAGAAAATGACTATTCGAGAATAGATTGTCTAGTTAAGCCCCGGCACCAGTTACCCCCCCCCCCCCCTCCGTCTACCAAAAAAAAAAAGATCATAAAAAAGAGGATATAATGAAACTTGTACTTTTAGATTTTTTTTGAAGAGGGGTAAAATTGGAAAATGCCATTAATAATTTGCATAAACAGGTCTGTATTTTTGGTACTTTACGCCATAACAATTAAGTTTGTGTATGCAATAAATATAAATTTGAGTTGCCAATAAAGTGTCTGGGCTTAACCTTTCGGGCGTGTACTTTTTGGCGGGGTTGATCAGGATTGGACAAGACCGTTATACCAGCGAACAAAAGATTAATTATAGATACCGGTGTCCGATAATGGAATCTTCTTTAAAAAAAGGGGTGTTGGGTTGTTAGTAGTATTGTAATCTCGACGGTAGGACCAGGGTTGGGATTAGGAACATTAGCCAGCCATGTGTGTATTTATTTAGTTAACTACCAGTAATCTAACACCCCTTTTTTTAAAAAGAAGATTCTATTATCGGACACCGGTGTAAACATTCTCCCAAGAATACAAACAATTAGTAAATATTGAAACCTAAAGACAATCTAATTTTTTTTATCGTGCAGGTGTTGGGGTGGGTATGCTGTGCTGTACCGCCATCGTGTGTATTTACTACAACGTCATCGTCGCCTGGATCGTGTACTATCTGTTTATGTCCTTCCGGTCCGTGTTGCCGTGGGCCAGCTGCGACAACTCATGGAACACGGACAGATGCACGGACTTCCGGGGCGCGAAAAACCAGACGGCAGTGGCCTTTCTAGGTAACTTGAGCCGGGATTCGTTTTTCAACAAAACTGGTGATGTAATCTTGAGGAACGGAAGTGAATTTTTGTTTACCAAGAGCAACAGGTCGGTTCCATCAAGCGAGGAATTCTGGGAGTAAGTAAAAGTTTCCTTGACGACAGACTTTACCGAAAGGTTGTTTCAAAATTAGGGGTAGTCCCTATGCAATATGCAATGCCCATTTATTTGTTCTAAGATTTTGCACATTTTTAACTACCACCCCTCTCTCGTCACCATATAATTTATAATATAATAAATATATTATTATAACGCTAGACCTCCACCCTATAACTCTAAAGATGTCACAATGGCCATCAATGGGGTCGTCCATAAATGACGTCACACTCGTAGGGGGGAGTCCGTAATTTTGTGACGGTGTGTGATGAGGGGGGGGGGGGGGGGTCACACTTTTGCATTATAAAAAAAGCAATGTTAGAAAACGATTTTTAGACGTTATTTTGCATTTTAGAAACTGTTTTAATAAATAATAGAATTGATTAAAATACTCTATTTTGACAGAGTTCTGACAAGATTTTGGAAAAATATCGATGTTTAAAAAAAAAAAAATTCAACTGCAATTTTAAGGGGGGGGGGGGGGGTTGTAGGCTGAGGTGTGATGTCATTTTAGGGGGGGGGGGTCTGGCTTTTTGTGAAGGAAGTGTGACGGAGTGGAGGGGGAAGGTAAAAATCATCAAAAAAGCGTGACCTCATTTATGGATGACCCCCAAGTTAATGTGACAATTCATCAAATTTTTGGGGTGAGAGCTGAAGCTTCCACGGGGGGGGGGGGGGGGGGGGGAGGGTGTGGGAGAAATGTACTCCCCCCCTCCCACGTCCAAGAGATGCCTGAAATAAACACTGACTTCAATTCACAGTGACATTAGCCGTAACTGTTACCACTAAGGCTTATTGCCTAAATAGGGCCTACCTTAACCCTTGCCCATTGCTCCTGTAAATATCTTTTATTGATGACCCCTTAGTAAAAAGGAAGAAAATATATTAGATTACCTAATTAAAATAAAGTATAAATAAGAATGGCTATTCATGACATCATAGAGTCATTATATAAATATATAATAGATCTAGGCCTAGTTCAATAAGCCTATATTAAAACTGCTTCTGAAAATAAGGTTATAGGCATACTAATATTATTTATATACCAAGTTATAAAATAATATTAAATCAATAATGTGTGCTTTTCGGTAGTCCATTATTATCATAGGCTTAACACTGCTTAGTTATAATTAATTGTCCTCTAACAAAATAAATTAAAGTTTTTGCTTTCTAAAGAAAAAGAAAGAAGATGAAATGTATTATATAATTACACATTAAGATTCACATAAACATTTAATTAATTATTTTAATTATCTTATTCTTGTGTTTTGAAAAATGCATATTTCAAAGAATATATGCATTTTATTCCAGAAGTCCGTAAATTTAATTTTAAATTACAAAAAATAAATAACAAAAAGGGGGGGATGGGAGGGGGTTGATTTATAGGGCTACACTGCCTTCTGATTTTTAAACAAACCTATTTGAATTAGTGCCATAGTTACTTCCCTTTTAATCTACATTTCTTTGAATTACCTTTTTTGGTTGGTAGTAAATATAAAATTAGTCTCAAAAGGGAGGGCAGTGGTAAAGACTAGAGTTAAGGCTGTTGCTTGTGCACACTACTTTAATAATTCATTACTATCAACCTAACATCCCTTTCTTCAGAAATCTATTATTAAATTGCAGTTATGAAAAACTGAAAAATTCCCTGCCTCCCTCCCCCCCAACCATTTGAATAAAAAAAAAGACTGCAGATTAAGTGAGTTAAAAAGAGCTGTATATTAAAACATTATTCTAAAAAGGTTAAAACTATTGTTTGCAACTCTTCCTATTTTTACAACTGGGGTTAAATGTAACTTTTCCTTTTCTTCCAATTGGGGTTGATTGTAACTTTTCCTTTTCTTCCAATTGGGGTTGATTGTAACTTTTCCTTTTCTTCCAATTGGGGTTGATTGTAACTTTTCCTTTTCTTCCAATTGGGGTTGATTGTAACTTTTCCTTTTCTTCCAATTGGGGTTGATTGTAACTTTTCCTATTCTTCTGATTGGAATTGAATGTAACTTTTCCTATTCTTCTGATTGGGGTTAAATGTAACTTTTCCTATTCTTCTGATTGAGATTGAATGTAACTTTTGCTATAGTTCCAAATGCTGTTGACTGTAACTTTTATTATAGCTACATTTCCTTTTCCCAATTTCAGACGTCATGTTCTGGAACTGAGTGGTGGCATAGACTCACCTGGTACCATCAGATGGCAGCTGCTCATCTGCCTGGCCTTTGCCTGGATATGTGTCTTTTTTTGCCTGTTCAAAGGTGTAAAAGTTCTAGGCAAGGTGTGTGTATTTTCTTTTCTGGCTAGGCAACATATTTTAAGATTTAGGCAAGTTGTGTATAGTTTTTTTTTTTTTTGCTAGGCAACATGTTTTGATTTAAGTCCTAGGCAAGGTGAGTGTTTTTTTTTTTCTGCGAGGTAACATGAATTTTTTTCAGTTCTAGTCAAGGGATCACCAATAAAGGACAGATGCGGGTTTTTTTTAACCCTACCCCATCAAAACATAAGTTGTCACAAAAAGTCATCCGCACTGGCTTCATGACATCATGCTTCAGTTTCTGCGTTTTCTGCCCCAAAAAATAGCTTTTACAAAATTATAGCGATTTATTTCTGAAGGTACTAATGGAGTTGTTTTCCTTTATAATCGGACATAGCAAAATAATTTAGCAACTGTTTTACTGTTTGCTTACCAGTCTGGTGTAGCCTAAAATAAAAACATTGTTTACCACAAGTTAATGCTGAAAAGTTTAGCAAAATAGTTAAAAAAATTAAAGTGTGATGTCACATTTTTGTAAACCCTTTTCCTTGTCAAGCATCATGACAAAAATCTGAAGCCCCCCCCCCCCCCCACCTCAAACTACAAGAGTGTTACTTCAAATGGATAATTTCCAAACTTAAAACTAAATAATAACCAAGCATTCATAAAACCAAACTAAAAAAGGGTTAATTTAGGTGACTGAGTGTAAGACTATGCCCTAGGCTACTATATTGGAATAACACTCTAGTGTTTAGCCCACTGTTAGTTAAACCATGAAAAAGTTAGTTAATTGCAAAATTTGAAAAATTAGATGTCTTCATAGAAGAGAGCCGGGCAAAATCTTAAAGTATTTCTAAACTATCAATCAAATATTTAGGTGACTTCAGAATTGTTTGCTTTTAAAAAAAAAGTACAGGTACTTAAATTCCAAAAAGAATGAAATAATTGATTGTTTACAGTACCCTGGCCAATAAAGTATTATATAACTGTCTTTTAAATTTTATCTTCAAGAGGGCCAGACATTTCCATAGACCAAAGCTAATGCTCTTTTTTGGATTTGGATCCAAACCTTGCCTTTCTGTTATTTAGGCATGTACTACAAAGCTTTGCCACTGTCAAAAGATTAGGTTGGTTAATCTTACCCCTGACTAGTTTTGTTTGTGGCTCTGTCTATCAAAGTAAAGCTAAGCGTGGTTGGATTGTAGAGTATAGGGCTGCTAACCTGAAAGTCTGGAGTTCGAATCCCTGGTTCAGTTCTAAAGAGCGTTCCTGAGTCCATCCAGATGTAAAGGATACCTGACTCATGTTATGGAAGGTAAAAGCAGCTGGGCATAGAGCTGACCACGCTATCCCTTCTTATGCCGAGGTCTCTGAAAAATGTTAACTCTGCTTCACCTGCCCCATGGACCATCAGCTTGAAAAGGGAACTTTACCACTGACTTCTGAAGCTAAGCTCGTTTTGTTTCTATGGCAACAGGTGATGCACTTTGCAGCCCCCTTCCCATACTTGGTTCTACTTGTCCTTCTTGTAAGGGGTTGCACTCTGCCCGGTGCCATAGAGGGCATTAAGTTCTACATAGTGCCCAGGTGGGAGAAGCTGGCAGATTACACAGTAAGTTAAAAAATTAATGTGTTGCAAATTTAATGGATTAAAGTATTATGTTTTAGGTTTCAGAAGGCTACTTACAAGCTCAATTCCTTGTCACTTGTGTTGTAAATGCACAAATAAAAAACCGTGCTCTATTTCTTTATATTTCAATTAAAAATCAAGTTCTTTTTATGTTTGATAATAATTGTTTTTTAATTTAAGCTAATAGATTTAAATAAACTATTTATAACTAAGGCGGCTGGGCATAGTGCTGACCACACTATCCCTTAAAATGCAGAGGCCAAGAAACTTCTGAACTCTATTCTGCCCAATAGATGGCTAGGGCTAAAGAGGAACTTTACTTTATATATGTTTATATTTATAACTAAAGTGTAAGATTAGGATATGTTTGATCATCCTGTATCAAATATATAGCTCATTTAAACCTACACCCATAGGCTCCTGCATTTGTTTAGGTGTATGAATCTATAGATATCTTTATTTAGCTTATCTACGCATCTCAGTCGGTGCTAAATATGAAACAAATTTACTAGTGTAATTTCCTTTTTTTTTAGGTTTGGGGAGATGCAGCTTTACAGATCTTTTATTCAGTAGGGATGGCTTGGGGTGGGATCATCACTATGGCATCTTACAACAAGTTCAGCAACAACGTCTACAGGTAGGTTATTTCCCCTGAAATTTAAATTATATGAGTTTATAACCAGCCACAAGCATATCTAGACATTGTTTTGGCAATTGTATTCTCAATTTAATGAATTAAAAAAAAATCAAAACATACTATTCATTAAAATTGTTTTGGAGGAAAAAATAGTTTTATATACTGTAATCAATTACAGTGGCGTAGCCAGTAAGTGGTCGTGGGAGGGGTTCAAACATTTTTCCTTATGTATAATTCATATATATATATATATATATATATATATATATATATATATATATATATATATATATATATATATATATATATATATATATATATATATATATATATATATATATATATATATAGGGGTAAGGGTCTATGGGAGGGGTTATAACCACCCTAACCCCCCCTTGCCTATGCCACTGATCAATTACACTAATACTTTTCTAATTGTGATTTCCATTAAATTGTCTCTCAGACTATGAAACCATTTAATAATAATGTTTATGCCAGAACAATTTTTTTTTCTTATTGCCAGAGACTCTATGATAGTTCCATTGGTGAACTGTGGCACCAGTGTGTTTGCTGGCTTTGCCATCTTTTCTGTGCTCGGCTATATGGCACATGAAGCCAACACAAGCGTGGATGAGATTGTAACACAGGGTAAGATTGGACTGGTATTGTGTAGATTGTAATGTAAGATTGGGTTGGGCCAGTGTAGATTGTAATGTAAGATCGGGTTGTGATTGTGTTGATTGTAATGTTGGATTGGGGTGGGATCAGGTAATTTCACATAAAGGATTGGTTTGGGATCGTGTGGGTTGTAATGTAGGATTAGGTTGGGATTCAGTAGATTGTAATGTTAGGTTGGGATTGGTACTTTGCAATGTTGAGTTGGGATTGGTACATAGTAATGTAGGATTGGATTGGGATTGTGTAGAGTTATGTTGGATTAGGTTGTGTAGGGATTGCACTGTCTGGATAGTGCAGGGAAAGTTTGGGGTTAAATGAAGGTTTGCATTGTGTGATGCTGGTATACTGCAATGTTTTGTTAGAGTTGGAAGTCATTAGAAATATCCACTAGATGTTGTATTTACAGATTGTGGATAAAAATAGAATAGGTTTACGTTGTGATTAAAAATATATTTCTGAGTCCAATTATCCCACAAATAGTTGGGGGGAGGGGAATGTTTATCAATACCAATATGCATGTGAATTACTTATAAAACCAATGGCAAATTAATTTTATAAAACAACAAGCCTTTTATAAGTAGTTTCAGCGTACATACAAAACAGGTGACACACAAGCCTTTGTATCCCAGTGTGAATGTTGATAGAGTCAGCTTTGTTTGAGTAGGGAACAAAGTTTATAACAAAGCTTATAACAAAGAGTGCAAGATCTTGCATATACATTTGCAGGTCCAGGTCTTACATTTGTTGCCTACCCACAAGCCCTTGCTACACTACCCATCTCACCCCTGTGGTCAGTGCTGTTCTTTCTGATGCTGTTCACTGTGGGTCTGGACAGCCAGGTAGGTTTTTAAAATGACTTGTTAAAAATTACTTGTTGTAAAATAACTTGTTTTAAATATGTATATTTATATGGTATGGTGTAGTCAATTGGTAGAGCTCACGTAGTTTCACTATCTCAAGAGTTTTGAGTATGGATCATGGACTAGTCTGTTGGAAGTCTTAAAGTCCACTAAGCTCTGATGGGTATCTGACTCACTATAGGGAAAGTAATGGCAATGGACATGGTGCTGACTACACTATCATTTTATCTTCTGAGGATACAGAAACACATGAACTCTAAGCCATCTACCCTATTGACCGTCATGTCCACAAAGAGAACTTTATTTTTTTTTTATTATAATTGGGAACTTAATTATGTTGTTATGTATACTTACAATGTATCAGAGGACAAATTCTACATTTTGAAACTAATTTAGATTGATTTTGAAATTTTGATTGATTGATTTATTGATTAGTTTATTCATTGATTTATTGATTAGTTTATTCATTGATTTACTGATTAGTTTATTGATTGATTTACTGATTCGTTTATTGATTGATTTACTGATTAGTTTATTGATTGATTTACTGATTAGTTTATTGATTGATTTACTGATTCGTTTATTGATTGATTTACTGATTAGTTTATTGATTGATTTACTGATTAGTTTATTGATTGATTTACTGATTCTTTTATTGATTGATTTACTGATTAGTTTATTGATTGATTTACTGATTCGTTTATTGATTGATTTACTGATTCGTTTATTGATTGATTTACTGATTAGTTTATTGATTGATTTACTGATTAGTTTATTGATTGATTTACTGATTCGTTTATTGATTGATTTACTGATTAGTTTATTGATTGATTTTGTTCTTGTAGTTTGGGATGTTGGAGACCATTCTGAGTGGAGTGATGGATGAGTACCCACAAGCACTGAGGCGGAGGAAAACAGCCATAACTGCTGTGGCATGCTTTGTTGAGTTTCTACTTGGCTTACCGTGTATTACACAGGTAGGGGTTTCTGTGATGTATAGTTGACGTTAACCTGTTGTTCACCTTATACTGAATTATGTAGTCGGAAATCAAGTCCAACTTTACAATTAAAGAATTAAGAAGAAGAAAATGTATTTTTTGTCTCTGTTTCAGGGTGGAATCTATGTGCTACAGATCATGGACTGGTACTGTGCCAGCTTTTCTCTCATGCTCATTTCATTAGCTGAGTGTATGGCTTTAGCCTGGGCTTATGGTGAGTTGTGTTTAGTGTATGGGTTTAGCCTGGTGAGTTGTGTTTAGTGTATGGCTTTAGTTTGGGATTATGGGGAGTTGTGTTTAGTGTATGGCTTTAGCCTGGGCTAATGGTGAGTTGTGTTTAGTGTATGGCTTTAGCCTGGGCTTATGGTGAGTTGTGTTTAGTGTATGGCTTTAGCCTGGGCTTATGGTGAGTTGTGTTTAGTGTATGGCTTTAGCCTGGGCTTATGGTGAGTTGTGTTTAGTGTATGGCTTTAGCCTGGGCTTATGGTGAGTTGTGTTTAGTGTATGGCTTTAGCCTGGGCTTATGGTGAGTTGTGTTTAGTGTATGGCTTTAGCCTGGGCTTATGGTGAGTTGTGTTTAGTGTATGGCTTTAGCCTGGGCTTATGGTGAGTTGTGTTTAGTGTATGGCTTTAGCCTGGGCTTATGGTGAGTTGTGTTTAGTGTATGGCTTTAGCCTGGGCTTATGGTGAGTTATGTTTAGTGTATGGCTTTAGCCTGGGCTTATGGTGAGTTGTGCTTAGTGTATGGCTTTAGCCTGGGCTTATGGTGAGTTATGTTTAGTGTATGGCTTTAGCCTGGGCTTATGGTGAGTTTAGTTTTTGGCTTTTTTATTGGCATATGAAGAGTTGAGATGAATGGTGTGGCTGAATTAGTGTTCCATTACGAAAATGGGGAAAATGTCTTTATAGTTAGTTTATTAAAGGAAGGCTATTAATTACAGGTTAAAAAAAATAACGTTTGTTAAAAAACAAAAGAGATCGCCTACCTCTTAAGCATGCAATAGTTTGCTATTTTCAATAAAAAAATAGAAATCTATTTCTGTAATTAACCTGTTTAAAACTCGCCTATTTAATCCAATATAAATTTAATCTATTTTTTCAATTCTTCTTCTGTATTCATTTGTAGTAAAGTCACAATTATTTGATCCTGTGTAGGGGCTGACAGCCTAGCCAGAGATATAGCATTGATGATTGGCTATAAACCCCACTTTTGGTGGAAATACATGTGGAAGTACATCACACCTACTGTGGTATTGGTAAGTCATTTCTTTATAAACATTCTTGTGACATAATACATTAGGCTACCTCTCTTGGTCAGAGCTTTAATTTATTGAAAAAACTTTGATAACTGAAAAGAAGCATAATATAAAAAGTGGAGTTAATTCCACGTAGATCTTATCTAATGATAACATTGTTGTATTTAGATGTATTTAATTTTGATGCCATAATTACAATTTTTTTTTACCTCAAGCTATTTAGTGACATCCTTCAAGGTGCCAGATAATTGATTTTAATTTTGTACTTTTAAAATTCTGAAGTCTAGAATGTATAGATGCCCTACTTAAAATAACATATAAACCAGGTGAATTTTGTTGTTTATATCTTAATGTGGTTACATTAGTTCCAGTTACGACATATAAACCACATTTTTTTTTCTCTAGTTTATCTGGGTGTTCAGTGTGATTACGTTAACTCCGGTGACGTACGGTGACTACTCCTACCCATCATGGGCTGTAGCTATTGGCTGGTTGCTGGCCGTTATCTCAGTCATTCCCATTCCAATGGTGGCCATGCTGCAGATTCTCAAAACAGAGGGATCCTTCATTGAAGTAAGTGGGAATTTTATTTTCATTTTGACTCAATGGCCATTGGGGTTGTCCATAAATGACGTCACACTCGTAGGGGGGAGGGGGTCCGTGATTTTGTGACGGTGTGTGATGAGGGGGAGGAGGGGTTCAGATGGTGCGACGTCACACTTTTGCATTATAAAAAAGCAATGCTAGCAAATGAATTTTAGACGTTATTTTGCGTTTTAGAAGACTGTTGTAATAAATTGTAATAGGAATTGATTAAAATACTCTATTTTGACAGATTTCAGACAAGATTTTAGAAAAATATAGATGTAAAAAAAAAAATTCAACTGCAATTTTGAGGGGGGTTGTAGGCTGAGGTGTGACGTCATTTTAGGGGGAGGTCTGACTTTTTGTGATGATGTGTGACGGAGGGGAGGGGGGGAGGTAAAAATCGTCCAAAAAAGCCATATTGCTGACCACACTATTACTTGATTTGCTGAAGTAATAGAAACAGGTGGATGTTACTTCATCTACCCCATGATTTGCCTGGAGGTCGGTGTGGTCGGGTCGGTTAAGCTCATGGTTGCTGAACCAAAAAGCCCTGAGTACAAACCCCGGACAGATGAGGCTCCCTAACTGGGGACTCTTTTATGAGAGACAACTCCAAAAATGAAACAACTGCTGCCTTGTAGACTGCTTTTGGTTGAAAAAAGGCTATGGAAGCAAATCCAAATTAATATTTGATAGAATACTTAATTGTGATCGAGGGAATCCCTTCCGTAACTAGAATTAAGAAGAAAGGGTACACTGCACATCATTTTGGGACTTTTTTGGGAAATAATTGTCAAGACCTATACCATTCATCATAGAATATTTGTATCTTAATTCTTAAAGGGTTAATTTTAACATAGGTGCTATGTGTTCACTGCCTTGAATCAGAGAATGATTAGCCTATAAAAGAAAGGACTAGATCACACCTATATAAGCTTTAATCTACCTATGTACATGTTCCTTTCTCCTTTGCTCAGCGTCTGAAATTATTATTGAGACCTGATCCCACTTGGGGTCCATCAAAACCAGACGACAGGAGACGCTATAACGCAGCGCTGGGTAAATTTAATATGGAGGCTGTCGCAATGATGGGCAACTCAGTAGACTACTCCAACAACAATGGATGCTGTGATGAATCCTCCCTGATGGCTTAGTGAAGGAAATAGTACAACATTTTATAGATATAGGGTTTATTTGAATGATGTTTATGCCATGTTGTATTTTTGTTTGATGGCCAGATAAATATTTAAGTTAATGGAACAAGTATATTTTAATATATAGTAGTCTTAGTCCATGAATTCTTTTATGAATTCTATGGTTTAGTAGTGAATTAGATCTTTTAAAAATGTACGTGTTTATGTTATTGTAACATACAATACTTGTTAGTATATACACATAATTAAAATATTTATATTAGAATTTTAAAAAAATTATAAATTTTATGTAATAATTATCACTCTTGCCATTTGATTTTTGTGTTTTTACCTTTTTAAAATATAGATATTTAACATAATGTAAAAAAACATCATAAAATTTAAGAAAATTAAAACCCCTGGTTTAAAATTAAAATTTAATAATGAGAATATATTTCTTATGCCTGTTGAATTTTCATCTTTGTATATTTTTTTAATGATTTATAAAAAAATAATTTTTAAACCTTCTAGGATAAGAAAATATTTATAGTCAAACTAGTATTATCCTAAAAATATATTTATGATGATTAAAATTATTCATCAAATTTTTTTCCTCTTCTAATAATTTTGTGCATAGCTTGCATAAGAGGATTATACAAGGATGGGTCCAATCTATTGGCCAATTCACACAAGCCAGATAATCTTATAGTTTGCATAATTCTGTAGTTAGACCACACATTTTTTGCAGGTCTCTAAAGACTATGTCTATTTTCTTAACGTTGTTTGGTAGTGAAAAACTTTATTTTTTGTGTATCAAACCATAATGATTTTTTTTGTACTTTAATGTCTTTGTGGAACTCCTCTTATAGAGGGTGTGCTTAAGTCTGATGGTGCGCGGACCTTTAGGGGGTTTGACCATAGGTGGTTTGACCACAGTGGGGCTTTGACCATAACAGGGATTTGACCATAGGGAATTTGACCATAGGGGATTTGACCAAAGATATTTTCTCAGCAGAGGGTCTTTGATCACAGGTGGTTTGTCAACGGTTGTTTGATCACAAGCGCCGTGTCCATCTTTGAACAGGTGTTTTGTCCAATGCTGACATTTGATAACGCATTGTCTATATATGGTAAGGATTAATTTTAAAGTTGAGTAATTATATTTTAAACTGCGGCAGGATGTAATAATATGTTAATTCATCATGTATAACTACAAGTCATCTAAACCCCTCTATGTCACATCCATGGAGAATCTTGGAGAGTAGAGCACGTCAAAAAAAGGTAAAAGAACTATTGTATCGTGGACATGAATTTGGTTTCACAGAGAACGCCAGGACGGGTCACGCATTTGGCGGTGTATGAAGGATCGCACTTGTAAGTGCCAAGCTACAATAGTTGCACATCATAGGCGAGAAGATTCCTCAATATTCACACGAAGGAGACATTAGCTATGGTTTGGCAAAACGAGCTGTTGGAGAAATTAAACGAAGACTTGAGGATACTCTTGCTACACTAGCTGCAACACAAATGACAGTCGCGTTAACTCTAGCAGATCATGTTTTGCACGCTTTACCCAAGAAAACTACTTTATCAAGAGCATTGAGAAAGCACAGACAGAAGAGTAAAGCAATGCCTACTATTCCTCATGATCTTGAATTTTAGATACCGGAGCGTGTTCATCACTTCGTTCAACATGTCTCGGGTCCAGGCGATGATCGTATCATCATACTCGGTTGTCACGAGCTCATCGATGGCCTAGCATGTGCACCCGTATGGCTAGCAGATGGAACCTTGAGACAGTGCCATACTTATTATGATTAACCTCCCTCTGTGGTCAAACCCCCTATGGTCAAAGCTCCGCTGTGGTCAAACCCCCTATGGTCAAACCCCCTATGGTCAAAGCTCCGCTGTGGTCAAACCCACTATGGTTAAACCCCCTATGGTCAAAGCTCCGCTGTGGTCAAACCCCCGATGGTCAACACACCTATGGTCAAAGCACCTGTGGTCAAAGCACCTAGGACCAGTCTGATTACCTGTTAACCCAATCTTTATAATTTTCCTTAATCCAACTTGAAAATTTTTTTTTAGACTAATAGTTAAAATAATCATAAAACAAAAATTCTTTTTTTTGTGTGTTAATTAAATCTATAACTGATAGTTTGTTAGATTAATCCATTTAAATTGATTTCTCTAGTAAAACATCATTTTTTCAACCATATTTATTTTAAATTCATTTCTATAATCAAAACACAATCTTGGTAATGTTTGTAGAGTGTTGAAATCCTAGAAGTTACAATCAGTATTATACCATCAATTTATTCAAACTTTTTCAATAGAAGTCAGAGATTGATGTACTTTTATTTTGACTACTTTTTAAAAATTGAATTTTCTGCCCTTGAAGTACATACCCTATGATTTATCAAGGATCAAGAATAATTCATAACTTCAGACAGCAGTATAAAATAATTCCAACAATTTATTTTCATCAATGCATTGTGTCTAGCAGTGTAATTATCTCCCTTCTCACTCTCTTGATGCCAGGAATCTATAAGAGTTTAGGAATCAAGAATGGATTAAAAATCTTTAATTATAATTGAACATGACTAAAACCTATTTTGCTCAATGCACTACCATTGTTGTTTGAAGAACTGTTTACTTAAAAATTGGAATTAAAAAAAAATTAAATGAAAAGTTTTTAATTAAGGCATCTGAAGATTGATCCAATATGTACATAATTTTCTGGTATTTTGTCAAGTTATGCTGGTTGTTAGATTTGATCTCTGTTATTTTGTGAGTAAATCAAATGTTTGTTATTTTTTTTACTGTTGGGGAACACTTTAAATATTTTTATCGTGTATATGAAAAATTGTTGATTAAACTAAAGCACATGTTTTTTTTTTCCAATTTATTTAAAGTTTAAATGAAATGGCTCACAAAACTGGTATAATTTTAACTTTTGCAAAATTATTGTTCAATTTTATTGTTGATCACGATGTTTCAAAAAATGTTATTGTAATTTATTTATACTAACAAAAAATGGATGGGTACCCAGATACAAAATGTACAACTCCGAGTTGCAATAGTTTTTTCTCACTTTTTAAGAGGTTGTCACTTCATGTTAAAATTGTTTCTAACTTTGTGTTGTCACTCATTAGAGTTGCCACTCCTTTTTTTTCACTCCTTGTTAGAGTTTTTTTTCACTCCTTGTTAGAGTAATTCCTCTTTGACTGAGTTATCAATTGTTTTAAAAAAACATTTAATTTAAAATTTATGACAATAGCGCAAAGCTAAAACAAATTTAGAAAAATAATTTTCACTCATATTGCTGAATGACACTACACAATATTTGAATCAAAATAATTTAGTTTACGTGTTTCAAATATTATGTATAATTTGTATAATTTATAGATTATAATATTAGAATGGTACTATTAACATTCCTATACAGATCTAATGGACTAGTACAGTTATAATTATTATTTATAGTATTTATACAAGTAGGCTAGATTAATTTATGTTTTCAATTATAACTTCACAAAATCATGTAACAGAAATTTATACACTTTAAAGAATATAAAGCTGACACTTCAATACTATAATTTGAAGTAGTGATATAGAACTGTATTTAGAAAAATAAATTAAGCAGAAGGCTTATTATTTTATGTTTTTAAATGTTTTTTAATTTAATATAAAGCAATAGGCGTTGCATGTTTTTAAATGTTTTTTAATTTAAAAGAAAGCAGTTGGCCTGGTATGTTATTACATGTATGTTTAATTTAATACAACATAGTATTATGTCTTTACATTAGTTTTTTTAATTTAATCTAAAGCAGTAGTAGGTTTTTTCAAAATGAATGATATTGTTACAAGTATTTGATGTTTGAATTGGACTATCATTGGACTATTTTTAATTGGACCAGTTTGTAGCATCCATTTTCCCTTTACTCTAGTCCTGATGAATGGGTTTGTGGGGAATCTGGGTGGATTGTGTGTGTACATACCTTGAATTTCATTACGAAATGTATAAATCATGTTATATACATAGAGGCACTTCTGAGGTATAGACCCCTACCTGTAGTCATGTTTCTTAATAATTCTTAATAATAAAATAGTGGACCACTATGCCCTAATAGCCATGTTTCTTAATAATAAAGAAGTCGACCACGCCTAAAAAGCCATGGTTCTTATTAATAAAGAATTGGACCACTATGCCCCAAAAGCCATGTTTCATTTTTCTCTTTCTTCCTCCCTCCCAACTGGCACAAAATCCTTTTATCTAAATAATTGATCTTGTGTCTATTTGTCAAAATTAGGCGGTTACAAACTGCTATGTTTATCTTACATATCAGTGACAGCTTTAAAAGATTTAAGATGGGATAGGTCCAACATATAAACCATATATAAAACACAACTTCAATTTTAAAAATTTTTAACATTATTTAATTTTTTTTTTTATCTAAGTCTAGCAAAGTGATCTGTGGTAATTTGACTGTACATATCATAAAGTTTTTGTGTGCCAGATTTTTCAGTTGAAACATGCCAACGGGATTCCATGAATCTGATAAACCTTTGTATTGTGAACATTTTTATTTCAATAAATAAATTTTGCGGCTTAGCCTAGACAGCGTTTTTTTTTACACTATTTTATTTGTTGTGTTAGTGTTGGGAAAGAATTAGTTGCAACAAAGCTAATTGTGTTGTTTCAACCATGCTCGTTGGAAGCTGTGGTGGATTGTATTTGGAAGCTGTGGTGGATTGTAATTGGAAGCTGTGGTGGATTGTATTTGGAAGCTGTGGTGGATTGTATTTGGAAGCTGTGGTGGACTGTATTTGGAAGCTGTGGTGGACTGTATTTGGAAGCTGTGGTAGATTGTTTTTGGAAGCTGTCGTGGGCTGTATTTTGTAAGCTATAGTGGATTATATTTTGGAAGTTGTGGTGGATTGTATTTTGTAGCTGTCCCTATATATATATATATATATATATATATATATATATATATATATATATATATATATATATATATATATATATATATATATATATATATATATATATGATTAAACCCCTCCCTCCCCCACATGTCGTCACTGGCTGATGGGCATGTAGTCTGGAACTAAATTTAAACAAGAACACATTTACACAATACAACTGGAACACACGCAACGAAATTGAATCAACGTCTCGCTCAATTCTTCCTCCCCCCCCTCCCCACCCGGGGCAACTAATAAGTGATATTGTGATGTTCGTGAGATGTGTTCTGTATGCTACACACACACTCCCTGAACTGTGACTCCCAACAACACGTTTAGTGTTAGCCTGAACTGGGTGTAGACGCCGTGGTATCCCATGTTCAGTGTTTAACAGTGTTAGACCGAGCACAGTTGCTTGATGCCCAAGGTTTAAACAATAAAACAAGTTAACTTTAACGACCAAACATGGCATTTCAGAGTCTCAGAAGGTAAAAATATTATTTTAATGTAGTTTAATGGTTAATAAACACACCAAAATCTTTGTAAAAGGGGTCCGAAGCACAACGTTCAATTTTATTTTCGTTGTTTTGATTCTTCGTAAGATATGTTCAATATTATAATGAGTAGTTTCTATTCTAACATCAATGTTTAAAGTTTAATAATATAATTAATTTTGTGCTGTCTACTCGAACATATTTTTAACAAATATATAATAAATAAATCAATTTAAGAAAGAATCATTGTTCATCTAGTGTGATGAAGATTGAAGTTTGATATCTATTTTAATAGAATGTAGACTCAAATTAAAGTGCAAGGTTATTGTAGAGATTCTTCAGCTTCTTTCTGTATGGCTTTATTAATAGTTGCTATGGTTACAGACAGTACGTCGGAAGTCTCGTAAAGTTAGGTGTCAACCGAAACGTTTAGTTATCTTGAATTTGATTGGTTGACGTGTGCCTCTATGTATAGATGAGTGTTTAGAAATTCAAAGTAAAGTGACGCTTTAACTTAACGTGTAAGTTTAAGAAATTAAGCAGCTGATTTGGTATCTACTTTAAAGGTAACACCAAACTCAAAACCTAACCTCATGATACAGTAAGTCAAATCTAATAATGTTAATCATCAGCTGCACCATCATCATCAGTATCATCATTATCATTATCTCACAAAGCCCACTAAAACCTCTGCCTGTTGGAATGTTAGGCCACCCCCCTTCCACTCTTTCTACATTGATCTTGTTCACGTTTACCCCCCCCCTCTTGCCCTTTGGTGTCTATATGAGAGCAATCCATGCCAATGCATCTACTCTCACTCTTACAGATGCGTAGCGACCCTTCCCGGCGACCGGGGACAAAGTGTCGATTTGCACCCCCCCCCCTCAAACTTTCGATTTGCACCCCCTCCCCCCCTCAAACTTTCGATTCGCACCCTCCCCCCCCTTAAACTTTTGATTTGCACCCCCCCCTTCAAACGTTCAATTTGCACCCCCCTTCAAACTTTCAATTTGTTTTTCCAACCCATTTTGTCCCCGCCCCCCCCCCCCTCGCTACGCCTCTGCACTCTTAGCACATTTTCAGCTTCGAAAACAAGTCATAAAAAAGTTAGCGATCATTAAAAATAATTTGTACTTCCACATCCCCCCCCCCCTAACTATGACAAAATCCTTCCCCCCCCCCCTAACTATGACAAAATCCTTCCACCCCCCCCTAACTATGACAAAATCCTTCCACCCCCCCCAACTATGACAAAATCCTTCCACCCCCCTTAACTATGACAAAATCCTTCCACCCCCCCCTAACTATGACGAAATCCTTCCACCTCCCCCCCTAACTATGACAAAATCCTTCCCCCCCCCCCTAACTATGACAAAATCCTTCCACCCCCCCCCCCTAACTATGACAAAATCCTTCCACCCCCCCCTAACTATGACAAAATCCTTCCACCCCCTCCCTAACTATGACAAAATCCTTCCACCCCCCCTGACTATGACAAAATCCTTCCACCCCCCCCCTAACTATGACAAAATCCTTCCACCCCCTTCCTATGACAAAATCCTTCCACCCCCCCCCCAACTATAACAAAATCCTTCCCCCCCCCAACTATGACAAAATCCTTCCACCCCCCTAACTATGACAAAATCCTTCCACCCCCCCCCCCTAACTATGACAAAATCCTTCCACCCCCCCCCTAACCATGACAAAATCCTTCCACATCCCCCCCCTAACTATGACAAAATCCTTCCACCCCCCCTAACTATGACAAAATCCTTCCACCCCCCCCCCCTAACTATGACAAAATCCTTCCACCCCCTTCCTATGACAAAATCCTTCCACCCTCCCCCCCCCCCCCAACTATGACAAAATCCTTCCACCCCCCCTAACTATGACAAAATCCTTTCACCCCCCCCCAACTATGACAAAATCCTTCCACCCCCCCCCCTAACCATGACAAAATCCTTCCACATCCCCCCCCCTAACTATGACAAAATCCTTCCACCCCCCAACTATGACAAAATCCTTCCACCCCCCCCCCCCCCCCCTAACTATGACAAAATCCTTCCACCCCCTTCCTATGACAAAATCCTTCCACCCCCCCCCCAACTATGACAAAATCCTTCCACCCCCCCAACTATGACAAAATCCTTCCACCCCCCCTATCACAAAATCCTTTCACCCCCCCCCAACTATGACAAAATCCTTCCACCCCCCCCCCCCCAACTATGACAAAATCCTTCCACCCCCCCTAACTATGACAAAATCCTTTCACCCCCCCCCCCAACTATGACAAAATCCTTCCACCCCCCCCCCCCCAACTATGACAAAATCCTTCCACCCCCCTAACTATGACAAAATCCTTCCACCCCCCCCCAACTATGACAAAATCCTTCCACCCCCCCCAACTATGACAAAATCCTTCCACCCCCCCTAACTATGACAAAATCCTTTCACCCCCCCCAACTATGACAAAATCCTTCCACCCCCCCCCAACTATGACAAAATCCTTCCACCCCCCCCCAACTATGACAAAATCCTTCCACCCCCCTAACTATGACAAAATCCTTTCACCCCCCCCCCCCCCAACTATGACAAAATCCTTCCACCCCCCCTAACTATGACAAAATCCTTCCACCCCCCCAACTATGACAAAATCCTTCCACCCCCCCCCCCAACTATGACAAAATCCTTCCACCCCCCCTAACTATGACAAAATCCTTTCACCCCCCCCCCCCAACTATGACAAAATCCTTCCACCCCCCCTAACTATGACAAAATCCTTCCACCCCCCCCTAACTATGACAAAATCCTATCTACGCCACTGCTTGACACCCCCAGGCGAATCGTCGGCTCCTCCGTGGACCAGCAGTCGGACAACACCATCTCCCTGACCAGCGTGCTGGACCTAGTGGACCCGGCCATCCGGGCACAAGGGGAGCAACTCTTTGATCAGTTCGTCATGAGCCAGGTCAAGTCGTACGAGGTTATCGGCCCCTGCGTGCAGTCCATACTCGCACCAAGGTAAGGGCGTGTATCAGATAGCTGTCTTTCTTTTAGGCATTTTTCTACGTGGGTTGGGAGCACTTAGAAGCTTTGGGCGTGTGCGTGCGTGTGTGTGTGTGTGTGGGGGGGGGGGTGTGTGGGGTTGGGTTGTACCTAAATGGCCGGGGTGGGGCACTAACCGATAAAATATTTGACAGCGAGTTTATACAAATTTAAAAAAAGCAACAATTAACTTATAGCATCGGGTAGTTCCAAAGGTCATGGGACCGAGTGGTCACCTTTCTAAACCGAAAGTTTCGAGTCCGGATCTCAGACAGTGTATCTTCCAGACTTTTTTCTCCGAGGGGGGCACTTGATATTTTCGGGGGCGGACAGCATTTTCCGGGGGGGGGGGGGGGGGGGGGGGGGGATGGACAGACATTTTCCGGGGGGGGGGGGGGGGGGGGCGGACATTTTCCGGGGGGGGGGGGCGGTCACTGGTAAAAGTATGTTTTCTATATAAATTCCATTACGTTCGGGGGGGGGGGGGGGCTCTAAGCCGCCCCCCCTCCCCCCGAAGAGTTGCCTGGAAGAAACTCTGATCTCGGACGTGAGTCTCTAGGACGTCCCCGAGTCCACCCAGTTCAGATCCGTGCCTGATTCGCGTTAGGGGGAGCAAAGGCAGCTGAGCTAACACACCATCCCTGCATACGCAGTGGTTAAAAAAAAACAACTGCTCTACTTCATCTGCCATATTGATCTTAACGTCCGCAATAGGAACTTAACTAGACCCCAATTTTTATATATTTAGCCTAACGCTACATATTTAGATCCATTTTTACTTCCCCCGCCTCAGACATGTAATTTACAGCGTAAGTTTGCCTTGCATGTCCGCTTTAGTATTAGTTTTCTTCATCAGTGTAGCCTACTTTCATTCATTTAAGACGAGCCGACCCGCGGCATATCATACGCCGCTATTTAGTTGTTGTTTTTTCTACTTTTCAGTAATTCATAATTTGTGAATTCTACACTACCAACGCTGCCACTGAAAATATTTCTTTAAAACACTTTAAGTAGCTCGTTAAGGACGATAACCCCCCTCCTCCCCCCCCTCCGTTAAAGTAAACTCCACTTAGTTACCCCCCCCACGTTTAAAATCGTTTCAAACTAAATTATCTGCCCCTAATAGTCGTCACTAAACCCGGCTCTGCTGTAAACAATAAACATTTAGCGTGAACCACAGCTCACCAGACCATGTAGGGGTGGGAGTGGTAGGGAGCGCGCTTACAGCTTGTTTTCTATCGTCTCCCTGAAGAGAATTATATATATAGAAGATTGGTTACTTATACATAGATCTAATACAAAACGTCTAAATATAAAAAAAGAAAAAGAAAAAAAAAACAACCTGAAAATGCAAATGTGTAATTAATGATGATTTAAGTTTCTTTTTTTCCATCGGCGTGGTGGGTTGAGGGGTGGGGGGTTGGGTTTTTAAATAGAGCTAAAACAAATTTGGGATTACAGAGGATTAAAATGATACAAATTTTAAGCAATCGGAGAAGTTATGTTATTACAATGAGACACATCAAAGCAAACATACTTCCCTTTCAAACATCTATAGCAGTCCTCAAACAGTTTTAAAAAAAAATTCATTTGTTTTAAACATTTAAAATAGTAATAATAATTTATTTGACGGTTTTACACAGCATCAATATCAATGAATGTCAATTTTATATATAGTAATTAAATGGAGAAAATAAATTAGCAAAATAACTAAATTAAAATATGGTGTACGGTGTACGTTAGCATTTACCAACAGTTGCTATGGCATTTCTACCTTTAAAGATTCCAAACGTTTAAAAAATCAAGCTGTTTGCAGTTTATTTTATACCCGTGATTAAATTTGATATTGTATTAAAATTTCACACTATTATATTGCCTAATGAAATGTTAAAAAACGTTTTAAATGTTTGCTGTAGGACTCCAACACCTGTGGACAGGACACAAATCAATGACGCGTCTAATCGTCTGTGTGAACTGGCGACAAGATTCGCTGAGACAGAGGAACGAAAACTCGTGAAGGAAACAGCAGTTATGGTAACTTTTGTTTATTACAAGAGACAACTCTAGTTATTTAAAAAAGAGTTGTTGTTACTGAGAACGTTGACATTGACAAAAGGGCAATAACTCATTAAATTGTATTAAAATTACTCGAACTAGAGTTATCTGTCTTATAGTGTGTAACTTGAATGTCTAATCTTTGTCTAGTTGAGTTCAAACATGACCGGCCAGGATTTGGCCACGATACTGACCACGATGATTGGCAGGACGAACCATCTGGAGGAAGGGATCGTTGTTCTGTTTTATTTCTGCTTTGACATCATTCTGCACAGGATGACAGCCAAGTGGGGCAATGCGCTGGAGGTGGTCAACTTGTGCCGGTCAAGTCTGGTTCAAATCCTGGGGCCTCGGGTTCAAGCTAGTGGAGGATGGGTGAGTTAGTGGGTGTGTGAGAGGAGGGAGGGTGATTGTGAGGGGTGATGGGTGTGTGTATAGGCTGATTGGTGCGTGTATAGGCTGATTGGTGTGTGTGTAGGCTGATTGGTGTGTGTATAGGCTGATTGGTGTGTGTGTATAGGCTGATTGGTGTGTGTGTATAGGCTGATTGGTGTGTGTGTATAGGCTGATTGGTGTGTGTGTCTAGGCTGATTGGTGTGTGTGTATAGGCTGATTGGTGTGTGTGTCTAGGCTGATTGGTGTGTGTGTCTAGGCTGATTGGTGTGTGTGTGTCTAGGCTGATTGGTGTGTGTGTATGGGCTGATTGGTGTGTGTGTATGGGCTGATTGGTGTGTGTGTGTCTAGGCTGATTGGTGTGTGTGTGTCTAGGCTGATTGGTGTGTGTGTGTCTGGGCTGATTGGTGTGTGTGTCTGGGCTGATTGGTGTGTGTGTCTGGGCTGATTGGTGTGTGTGTATGGGCTGATTGGTGTGTGTGTATGGGCTGATTGGTGTGTGTGTATGGGCTGATTGGTGTGTGTGTATGGGCTGATTGGTGTGTGTGTATGGGCTGATTGGTGTGTGTGTATGGGCTGATTGGTGTGTGTGTGTATGGGCTGATTGGTGTGTGTGTATGGGCTGATTGGTGTGTGTGTATGGGCTGATTGGTGTGTGTGTATGGGCTGATTGGTGTTGGCGTAATGAGTGGGTAAAGATGTGCGTGCGTGGATGTGTATGGGGATGCTTGGGTTGGTAATGAGTGTGTGGGTGGGGTGGGGGTGTGAGGGTGATGGGAGGTCAGGGGTGTATTTGGGTGGGTGATTTGTGTGTGTTGGGGTTTCAAATGAATGGGGTTCTATTCATATGTGTGTGCGAGGTTGTAACAGGCGTATGCTACTGTGTGTGTGGGGGAATGTTCATTGCATTTCTTTAAAATAGTTTATATTTTAACTTTATTCATATATTTTATTATTTTGGACGTTCTTGAATTCTTCTTTTGGACAGTATTGCCCCTCTACCTTTACCCCCTTTACCTTTACCCCCTTTACCTTTACCCCCTTTACCTTTACCCCCTTTGTATCTCCCCCAGGGTAAGGTGTTTACCAGCGGTACCAGGGGCGGTGCCATGCTGGGTCTCTTCGCCACGGGGATGTTCGTGCTCTCAAGGATTGGCCCTGGCATTCTGCTCATCTTATGAGACGCCTTCATGACTATTTTTTTTATTTCACTTTGTTTCATGTTAATTTATAACTAGCAACATCACTTTAACTATATTATTACATGTCACATATTTACTTGAATAAAAGTATTATACTTATCGAATAATTGCAATGCAGCTAATACATTATTTATAAAAGTTGCAATATAAATGCTAATAAACTTTCCTGAGAAGTTTTAAATGTTTGTTAAATTTTTTTTTTATTGGAAAATATTTAGCTTAAAACTTTATAAAATAAAAGGGAGCGAAACTATGCGAGAAAAGTAAATTACAATCTAAGAACATTATATTGGGTAGTTTCCCTTGGATGCTACAATTTAAATGCGACTGATAAACGCAGTGTCAAAACTTTTCACTCTAGTAAACGAAATAGGCCTACATCTAAACTCCACATAAGATGAATCAATTTGAATTTAAACAGCTAGATGTTTTATATAGACTTAACGTACCGTTGAAAAGAACTTGAAAATATAAAAAAAATAATTCTATCTACAAACATCTATCCCACGTTTCCGTGGCTTTACATGTATTACTTATGTGATACACGAAAATCTGAACTGGCTCTTATTTAATTATGACCACCATAATTTGCGTGCTGTATTTTAAACATGAATATATTGATTTATGCCATTTGAATTTTTTTAAACATCGCATGATTTAGTGCACATTTAAGGAAATTCACTGTCAAGGTATCAAAATTTTCTTCTAAAAGAAACAGTTCCTTATGATTTATATTGGAACATGTTTGTTTGAAACTACTCACGCACACGCAAGAGGGATATGTATTCAAATGCTGAACATCAACTTCAAGACTGCACTCTTTCTTAAAAAAAAAAAACAGTTAAAGACCACTCTTTCGTCTACGAAAGAAAAAAAATGTTACGATTGAACGACAAGATGGCTTTGTTCGTCGATGACAAAAAAAAAAAAAAAAAAAAAAAAAAAAAAACCAGAAAAAAACTAAATCCTTTCGCTTTAATGTTCTTTAAATTTTAACACTAAAAACAGGAAATGCACCTTTGCAAAATGTAAAAAGTTCAGATGATAATTTACCACAATTTTTAAAAACCTGGAAGAGTCAAACGTTTTAAGATCTAGTTCATTTGCATGTAGCATAAATTATAAAAATTTTTAAATGCATCAAGTGTTAAAAACAACTGTCTTTGTTGACATGTTATAATAACAAAAATAATTTTACTGCGACAGATTTTTACATGCAAAAAAAAAATAATGGACAAGGGTTAAAAGAAAAATTAACCCTCTGCTATTGAAGGGAAATAACTCATCGTTAGCCATTTTTGTCTGCACGGTGCGAGTATCGCCTTACAAAAACACGACGCCAACACGAAAAGCTAGAACCCCCGTAACTCTGCAATTAGTCTTTTTTTAATTTCTCGATTACCTCCCTTGAACTGGCTCGGCGCGACTTTTTGACCCGTCAACGTCGGGATAAATGGTGACGGCGGGGAGGCAACCACCTCTTGAAAAAAAAAAATAAAAAAAAAATATTAAAAAAAATTTAACGAATAGAAAATAGAATAGTAAAAAAAAAAGCAATGCTATGCATTCTAATTTTTAACTTTAAATGTTCACGACTAATAAAATTATAAAAAAAAACCCCACTCCTTCTAATCAGAATATATTACAGTGTATAGAAATCTCCAGGTGTAGTTTCCTATACCGACGTCTAAATTCTTTACGTCTGCAGCCGATGTAATCTGCATGTAATCAATCTACTTGTGCTGCACAGTTAGACCGCCAGACACAAATCTTCTCTTCTTGTACGTCCGCGCTGTAGACGTTCGCATTTAACTAGCTTTTAAATTTGAGAATCCCCCGTCTCTCGGATAATCTAAAAAGAAAACAAGAACGGTTCTGTTTTCGCGTATCTAAGCCGTGTAACTCGATACTCCTTTGTGTTATCTTTTCCTTTTTTTAAATCCAGTTTTCTCTTTTAAATTTAAAGGGATAAACGAGTTCTTTCTGTTCCACTTAACCACAAAAATTTACATTGTTTATTTTTCTTCATTACAGGTGACTTACCCCGAAAAAAACAACGGAATTTTTTTTTTTTGCTCTAGAATTTTGGAGTATCACCTTCCGATTAACGAGGCTTAATACTAGCACAGTAGGGGAGGTAATGCTTCAATAGGGGAAGCAACCAACACAAACGGATGCGTTTTTTTTTTTTTTTATTTATGGCGGACGCGGTCGGGCGGCAGGACATTTTCAAAGACTACAATGACAACTGTCTAGAAAATTAGCCGCGTCTTTGCCGGATAGCATAGAGTGGAATACGAGCTGTGGTAGAAATTTACCTTCACAAGAGGTGTGAGAAATAAGCACGCATGGGTGCTTCATTTTATATTTTTGATATTTTTTACACCGCCACTTCAGAACACCCCCTATTCGTCGCTATAACAGTGTAGGAGCGTTCTTGAACTCTTGGTGGAGGTGTATATGACACCGCGTATATGATAAAGGTAATTGTGTCTTCCCAAGAGGCTCACACAAGAATAACAGTATTTAAAAGGACGATTTCGTGACGCTAGAGTGGATTTACCCCTACTCGCCCCTCGTACGTCCGCGAGTATTTGAACAGTTTATACATACGGGCTCGTGTCTCGTCAAGCGATACTTCTAGAATATTTTTATTCGAGAGTTATTTTTTTTTTAGAAATTATGTGTGAGAAAATGACGGGAAAGTACACGGTGTTTGGAGCTAAAGTTATAAACCTACGCACCTAAAATAAAGGTGTCAGATAGTTACACTTTTTTTTGACGGTGTACTCACTGAAAAAAAAAGCTTGATGAGTTATTATCTCGTGTGAATTATAACGGAATCTTTTAAAAATTATTGTTATTTGAGGGGGATATTAATAGAAATATGAGAACTTCGTAGAGTGTCTTGGCAGAAACAGGAACATAGGGGGCGGGGCTGACACTGATAAAAGTAAATATTTCCTGTATAAATTCCATTTCTTTAGGGGTGGGGGGGTAGACTACCTTCGGGGTGGGGTGTGTGTGTGTGAAGAGATAGATGCCTAGAAACAACTCTTCGCGTATTCCAAGTTCAGCACTACGTTTTTTTTTTTAAAAACAAACCATTTGCAATCTTTGTTTTATTGTTCACTACTGAAAAAAAAAGACACCTTAATAAAATAGAATGAAGTAATTTTATTTGTTATTTTTTTTAAAGAATCGGCTACATTAATAAACATTATATATGTGTGACCACAATAGTCGTGCTATATATATATATATATATATATATATATATTATATATAATATATATATATATATATATATAATATATATATAATGCGTGTGTTTGTGTGCGTGTGTATGTGTGTTTTAGTTTTGGTTATATTTAGTTTTGGTTATACAATGAATGCGTCTATTCACTTGCTACACTTTACTCCAACTTTTCCAATCAGCTTCTAAGTCAGTTTAAAATTTAACTTTGCTGGTATAAATTTAATAGAAGGCTTTATTACGTAATTTTATGGGAGATAACCGGACTCTCCCTGACTCCATGTAATACTAACAACTAGTACATAAAGAAAGACAACCTCCCAGCATGATATGGTTTGCAAAACATTATTATTTCAATTTCTTTAGATGAAATGAAAAAAAAAAACCCGATCCTAAAATAAAATTTGATATTTGCAAATTTGTCACACGGCACTAAAATGTCGTTTTTCTCCAGCACGCGGATTAATATCGGAATGAGAAAACCGCTTTGCAGCGAATAATTCCGCAATTTTCCCATCAGGCTTTGAGTTTTATGACGCCCATGGGCTAATCAGGAGTTATCGTTCCTGCCAACATTTAAAATATGGGTAGGCGCAAGTCACCCGTTTAACCCAAATAATGGCGCAGCTGCCCGGAGTTGGCTCAGCGTGGCTCATGATGGCTCATTGTCCAGCAAGAAAACCATGCTCATAGCCTATGATTTCAGATTCAAATTTCTAGAACGGATCTAAGCGGTCAAAGAGAAATAGTTTTTTTTGTATTACAGTTCGTATACATAATTTCGTGCATTCTAAGTTCACAATTCTCTCAATTAATACACGAAATTATTTCCCTTCACAAGCATGGTGTCAGTTGCCATTCTGTAAACATTTGTTTAGTTGGCATGTGTTAATATTACACTGTCAGACCGCCTGATCACCTTCAAAACCTGCTATTTTCTATTGATTTATTTTTATGATTTTCAATAATTGAATTTATCAATTTTTCACGTAGTGCAAAACAATAAAATCTAACACATCTTTAAAAATAGATCGATATTATTAAAAAAGTTAAGGCACGAAACAGACTTTACCAATACATAGAGTTCTTTGAGGCATCTCTATGGGTGGGTGTGGTCATGTGTGGGGGGAGGGGGGTCAGTGCCCCCTTCGAAGAACGTCTACCACTACCCTCCCCCAACGAAATATGATTTATGTAGAATATATATTCTTTTATCAGTATCCACCCCTCCGCCCTTCCCGGAAAATTGAGACCGCCCCCTCCCTTACCCTAATGAATAGATTCAGCCTTGTCAGATAGGAACATTCAGTATTATTTAGTATTATCGCGAAAGTCGAGACACCAACCCTCTCTCCCCCCCCCCCCCCCCCCATTATATGATGCCATGAAAATCCGCTCGCAACAAAAATAACCACAACCTTTTTACATGACGTCATTTATGAACGAACCCTTGCCCAACCAGGTGCCTCATTTAACACTAACCCTTCAAAGTCAAGTTTTTAAAATATATTTTTTTATAAAGGTAGAAGTTGATCTCTACTTCATATGCCATATGGATCGCAGATTCAAAAGCTAACTTGCTAGCTTTACTTATAAAAAAAAGAATTAAAAAAAAAATGTGCTTTGGCTATGCTGTTCAATATATTTTTTAAATTAGCGTCTACTCTCGCGCTTTCTCGTTATCTCGCGATACAGAATTACGCACGAGATCCGGCGCTTGAGGCTGGCAGTTTTAATCCACATCAAGTGACTGGCAAGATTTCCGTCCGGAGGCCGAGTGTCTGTGGGAGGATTAAAACCTAGGGTGGGATTACGACAAGACCTTACGATAACAGCACCGGTGCGGCGCGCATCTCTAGAGGGTGCGCAAACAAAGATGCGGTCATGAGCGCT